TTTCAGCCACGTCTTATTTTGAAGTAAGAGCAATTTGTCTCAAATAATCTTTCCCTTACTCTTTCAGTTATTCTCCATTACTTGGAGTATTTATTTGACATTTTTTGAGCATCTACTATGTATTGGGAACTGGGAACACAAAGACACATTGTTATTGAACCAAAGTGGATGGTGGTGAGTTGAAATCAGAGCCTACACCAGAAGTAGTTGTCACACAAAGTAAAATTTACTTGCAGCAAATAGGACACCACACGGAATCATTTTGAAAGTCATAGCACAGGACAGCAGGAGCCTTTTATTTCAGATGAGGAATGAATATTCAAAAGGGAGAGGCAGGTATTTGCTTGTGCAGGCTCAGCTGGAAAACATGCTTCCACAAACACTGCAGGTTATGGTAATGAGGCCTAAGCTCCTCCTGGGGGTGGAGATCTTAGCATGAAAATGAAGTCAAGGGCGATTTTAGATCATCTCTCGGCTCATCTGTGCAGGTGCTGCTCTTGCAGTGGGGCTCGGTCTGGTTCAGGGTGGTTGGTGATTATATGTCTTAACAATAACAAAAAAACACAATTCGGAGAAACAGTTAAAGGCTTCTGAAATCTCCTTTGAGTTCCTCGAGGCAATTAGTTGGTGACAAAATGAGACATGAGCCTTCCGCTCTGAAGGGGAGCAAAACATACCACTCCAAAACATGTCTTTTTGGCATAAAGATTATTCTGAGCTGGTTATTTATTTATTTTTTTGTGAGGAGATCAGCCCTGTGCTAACATCTGCCAATCCTCCTCTTTTTTTGCTGAGGAAGAGTGGCCCTGGGCTAACATCCGTGCCCATCTTCCTCTACTTTATATGGGACGCTGCCACAACATGGCTTGCCAGGTGGTGCGCCAGTGCATGCCCAGGATCTGAACCAGCGAACCCCGGGCTGGCGCAGCGGAACACGCACACCTAACCACTTGCGCCACCTGGCCAGCCCCCTGAGCTGGTTATTTTTAAGAAACAGTAGACAGGAGAAGTTCTGAAAACCAAGTAGAAGTTCTGCTTTTGTAAGGGAAATTTACATTTATAAGGGAAATCTCCATTTGTAAGGGTGTCTCCCTCTCTGTACCAGGAAGAGGAAGATGACTAAATCTCTAGAAACTCTTATCAGTGGAGAAGGCATGGACTTAAATCTGTATAACAACCATACCCTTATTTACTGTGCTTTTCCTGAAAACCTCCCATAACTGGTTCTCCCCACCCCCACCCCCCAACTCCCCAACATCTTCTTTTGTCTTTAGCTGGATGTAATATTTAAGGTGATGACTTGGGCCATTTTGGGGGGGGGGCCATGGTGGTGGTGGTTATTCAGAGTTACTCAGTTTTCCTGGGTCTCTCCCATATATACAGGAGGCATACATGTTATCAAACTTTTGTTTGTTTTTCTCCTGTTAATCTGTCTTTTTATTACAGGGGGATCTCAGCCAGAAAGCTAGAAAGATAGAGGGAAATTTTTCTCCCCTACACCACAAAAAGTGATAATCTAATGGAGAAAAATTTTAGTGATAGATATTACATTCCACAATAATAAGTGCTAGAACAGAGAGAAGCAGAGGTTGTATTTAGTTAATTAATTCAATAATTGTTTAGTGCTTACCTATTATGGGACAAGCACTGTTCTAGTCCATGGGAAAACAATGGTTAACAAGACAGATGAGACCCCTCACTCATGACGGTTGCCTTTAATTGGGGAGAGGCAGGTCATCCACCTGTCTCTTATGTATTTATGTAAATAAATACATAAACAAGATAATTTCAGAAGAATAAAGCAGATCAAATAGTGAGAGTAACTGGGAGCTACTTTAGATTGGGTGGGCAGGGTGACATTTTTGAAGTGGACACATCTGAGCTGAGACCTGAAGGACAATCAGGAGTCAAGCATGTGAAGGTCTGGGGGAAAGAGGTTTTAGGCAGAGGGAAAAGCAGATGCAAAGGTCCTATGTGGAAGTACTCTTGGTGCGTTTAAGGAATAGAAAGAAGGTCCATGTGGCTGGAGGCTCAGAGAGGTGGGCAGAGGCCACATCATATAAGGACCTGTAAGCCTGAGTAGAGAGTTTGAATTTTATTTCAGTGCTGTGGTGGATTTTAAAAGATGGGTGACGATGTGATTTGTGGCCGCTGTGTGGAAAATGAAATCCAGGGTGCAAATTGGATGCAGGAAGAACAGTGTGGAGGCTAACGTAGAAATCTGGGTAAGAGACAATGGCAGCTTGGACTATGGTGGTAGCAGTACATGCAAAGAAGTGGAGGGATTTGGGGTTCGATTTGGAGTAAAGTCAATAGTACCATCGGATCAGCTGAAGAGGAGGGAAGAGAGAAATCAAGGATGGCCCCTAGGTTGGCACCCAGGGTGTTGCTATTTATTGAGATGGAGCAGGTCAAGGGAAATATTAAGAGTTCTATTTTGGACACATTTTGTTTGCAATGCTAACTAGACATTCAACTGGAAAAATTAAGCAAGTGGTTGGATATGTGAGTGGAGCTTAAGGGAAAAGCCAGGGCTGGAGATATTTGAAAGTTTTGTTGCATTTGAAAGATTGGATTCCAACATTTATTCCACGCTCCTTCGTGCGTGCTTTCCAGTATTACAGAGGCTGGAAATCTAAACTGCTACAGTCTCCTCTCCTTCATTTCAGGACCACCCCAACCAGTCCAGGGAGTCAGATTTCAAATAACCAAGATAATAAGAATTCCTAGCACATTTTATGCTTTGCCCTCATCAGTTCTCTGACTAGTGGCAGCAGAGCAGCGTCAGCCTACTTAGAACCTGGATACAAGCTACCTCTCAGTCTCCAAATCAAGACTTAAATCTCTTTGGCTCCCAAAGGTTAAGATCTCAATTCTAGAGTCTCTATTTAGTTTAAGTTTCATGTATTTTTTTCTTGGATGTGAAGAGAAGGATGAAGACACAATTTTAAATTACCAGAAAAAAATAGGGAAATTCTGGAATTTATAAAAAGAATATGAAACCTTCCCTTCTTTCAAAATGTTATTTCCACCGTATTATGTGATGGTAATTGTCTAGTCTCTCCCCTCCATCCTTTCACAGCTGTAGATGTCTTCCTTGTGTGAAATAGACAAAGGATGTCTCTTGAGACATTCGGCTCACACCATCTTCAAGACATTGCATATTTGCCCTCTTCCCTTCAGCATCTCTTGCTCAACATATTATTTGGCCTCTCTGGGATCTTGGAAGACTGTATATTTTCTATTATTGTGGGAAAAATCCTCCCCCATAGTTTTAACTCAACAAAGTCTCGGAAAAGTTTTGAAAGTAGCATTGGCTTGGCTAGAAGGAGAGGAAATAAATGTGTGAGCAAAAAAGGAATCAAAAGCATACAAACTGGAACAAGAGAGAGCCTGGGACAGGGGGACAGAAGCCAAGGTTCCTTGACGTTGTATACCTGGTTGAAAATAAAGATGTTGGTCCATTAGCAAGGCGTATTATTTCTACCATGCCAATCAATTTACTTTAATTGAACGTTTCCTTTGAATACAATTTTATATAGTCTCTACACAACCAGAGAAAAGGCAAAACAAAGGAGGTTAAAAGAATATTATAGAATATAAGTGAGATGAGGAGAAAAAGAAGAACGGATAGAATAAGACTGAACATAGGGAGCAAAAAGAATTATCTTTTGCACAGCAATATGTTTTCTATCTTGTGTGGCCTATAAATATAAATGGCTGTGACATGATGGGGGTAAAATCTCAGAGCCAATCTGTGCTTTTAGTTCCAGGTTTTCTCATTGACCTCAGAAATGTCAACATCTGCCACCTGGTCATCAAATATTTCATAGTTCACTGTGCTCTGTGTAGTAGCAGATAACGAATTTCCTTTGCTGATAATATCAGGCGAAGCCAACACCAGACTTTGGTCCCACATGAAACCACATGAAGAGCTGGGCAGGCTTTTCCTAGCAAAAGAGCAGGTACAAAACTTCCGCTCAAGTTTGATGCAGTTGTCAGTTTCATTTTTTCCAAAAACCTGGTTGTCTGTGATATGGAGACTGGCTCAATCCATAGGCTGAGTGAAAAGCTACTTGGGTGCTAAAATTATGCTTTGCCCAGGATATTTCTCCCGCTAACCTGCCGAATTGCTTCAAATAAAGAAATGGAGCTAGTTTGTATTATTTCTTTGGGTTACAATGTGAAGTCCTTCAACAAAATAAGTCTGTTCGGTGAATTATTTACAGATGCCTCAGCTGGCCCTTGAGAAATGAGATGAAAACAGGTACGTTTTGATGTGTCCTTGAGAAGCGAGGGGATGTGAATAAGAAGGGAGCTCTCCAGGGTACAGGAGAGCTTTTGGTTGTCATGATAACCCTCCGAAGTGGGTTCTGATAACTCCATTTTATGGATGAGGAAACAAGGTCTGCACAGATAGTAAATGGTGGATCCAAGGCTGAATTTAGGCCAAGCTCTAAATCACTGTGCTATAGAGCAGCATTTGCAGAAGGTAGGAACTGAGTTTTATTCATCTTTTTGTTCCCATCACAAGATGAATAAATAGACCTCACAAGATCCTGGGCTTGGGAAGGGAGTTGGAGGAGGCATACTCTCCAGAACAGAATTTTCTAGAATGCTAAGAATTTTCTGAGGCTGGAAGGGTCAGGGATTCTGAAAGGGAAGAAAGGATATGTGAAGAACTGGCAGGAAAGCCCAGAGAATCATCTGCATAACTCAGAAAATCTTATTTAACTACATATTATGCACGGTAATCAGAACTGGTATTTTTAGAAGACTGTTCTAGGAAATATCTCTGCTTGCCACCACTTTTTACTTCCTAAATCATGGTGTGATGCTTTCTTTCTTTACGTTTTGGTAGCACATTGATTAAAGCAGCAAACTAGCTCTTACATTAGAAATTATTCTGAATTAGATTCAATGAATTTGTAAATAGGAGGACACTGAGTCAAGAAAAAGACACACAAAATGGAAAAGATATTTTAAAACTACACATATGATCTTTATTTTGTATGTTTCACCAACTTGGCCATTTGACCTTTTACCACATTTATCAACTTTCTGAAACCAAATATCCACAAAAGATCAGTTACAATACAGGCATCTCTAAAGCCTAAATTTAAAAATACAATGAAAATGGGACTCTGTTGGTTTACAAAAATTAAAAAAGTACAATAAATTTCTAATAGCAAGTTTTTAGTTTTCCAGACTATGTCTATATTATTGATAGTGTTACCAGTGGATATGTTATCAAGTACATTGATATCAGATAGCATGGCCAATGATGTTTTAATGTTTTTAGCCGTAAGAAAATACTATTTCAAAGAGTATGATATTTTTTGACGTGGTCACTTAAATTCTTGCTAAAATACTAGCTTTGCAAAGGATCAAATTTGCAGAAGAGTAAATATATGGACTTCTCGGTCTGGCTTAGAAAAACCGTTTTAAGGTTTTGTTAAAAAAAATTAAACAAAATTTGTTTATCATACTCAGAAACTGAAACAATCTTATAGATTTATCTATTCCCCATTTTACGGAAAAATGGAATCAGGGTGACGTGCAGAGATACGGAAGCTGTGACCGGGAGGTGGCTCAGTCGAGTGTCTCTGAACATGCTGTCACTGCATTTGCCCAGGACCAGCTCCTCCTCTCCACCACACGAAGGACCATGTCAGTGTTTACTGACAGTTTCTAAAAATATGGCAGTGATGCTATAAAAATAAATGTCTTAAAAAACAACCACAGGCTTGATTGGAAACACAGGGTATCTGGGGCTTCAAGGTTCTTCCTGCGGGAGGAGCTTCTGCTTCACTGAGGGGGGAAGTTCCTCGTCACAGTGCTCCAGCTCCTGCTCCTTGGAGAGCTCCAGGAAAACCTGAAAGAGGGGCAAAAAATGGAGAGGAGGTCACACTGCCTCCTGGAGCTCCAAGTGCGTGCAAAGCGTATGCACATTTATACATTTGTATCCCGTGGACGACATAAAATCACTAAAACTGACCCACCTGCTCCAGGGTGGACTGTGAGAGGCTGTACTCCTCCAGGTCGAAGCTCTGTTTAACTGCATAAAGATGGACATGCATTAGGAGTTCATATATTTTTATATCCAGATGGTCTTAGAAGTCAGCAAATAGTACAAATAACAGTTTCTAAAAAATCTTAAATGAATAGGTTAAGAGAATAATCGTTCATGGTTTGAGTACAGCATTCAGTTAAAACACACTGATGCATTCACTTAGGTTTGGGGAGAAAGGTGTTTGTGTTTTGCTCAGATGTTGTGCAGGTTTTGAGATCTCTATTTAAGGGAGGAAACGGTGCTGAGAAGACTTCCTTCCCTGCAGGTGAGCCAGTGTTTTTGCACACTCAGCACAGGAAGAGGTGGCAGGAAGACACATTTTGGAAAGGGTTGCATCAGAATCAGAAGATTATAGGGAAAGACGTCTGTGGTTTTCTAGGGAGCAGATAGTCTCATGGGGCTCTTTCCAGAAACCATTGCAGCTTGCCTCAAATCGGGTTGAAAACCCTTCTCCTTGACCAAAATAGACTGTGAAGGGTAGTTAGAGCCCTGATAGGAGCCAAGTGGACTGGAAATATGCCACCAACAGTTCCAGGCCAGGAATGGCCGCAGTGCCAATCCGGGTGCTTGAGTGACCACACGGCCCAGAATGCTGGGGTGCTCAGCTCAGAGAATGGAAAGAAAAGGCGTCACTGTCACCAGGGATGCTATCAACAGGAGTAACAAGAGTCTTCTGGAAACTATGGGACTCGAATCTCTTCCTCAGCAAAGGTGGCAAATCAAGTGAAGATAACCCTGAGCAGTGACAATAAGAGAGTACAGAGAGGGAGTCCTGGCTGGCACAGTACAGAGTAGCAGAGTTAATGGCCTCTGACGACAGGGAAAACATGAGCCCGGTGATAACAGAGGCAGGGTGGTAGGTTTTAAAGCGCAGCAGACACAAGAAGACTGTTTTAATGACCAGACAAGAGGTCAATTTCTTAATCTAAAGCCTAAGGCAATAAAACTATATGCAAGTCCACGTGAAATCTAATTTTAAATATGTATGTATCAAAGTTCCAAAAGAAAGTATTCTCCTTAAATGCATATATAACTGAGTTTTGACTTAGGTTGTACCTATATATATACACACACAAAAATACATGGAACAACCCCACAAAGAAAGAGTGAAAAATCACTCCCATCGCCCCCCCCCAGAATCCCTCCACCTCCTTGATTTTGTGCTTCTAAAATCCAATTTGAGATTTAACGTTTAAATGTAACACACTGTGTCACATTCCATTTTCATCATGCTGACGGATTGTTTGATGCTTTGGAATTATCTGCTTCCCAGGATGTTATTTCAAAGCTTATGGCACTTACCCCCCTCTAATTTGAGGAAAGCTTGGGCCAAAGGTCGTACATCTTTCACTGGCAATTTATAGACCATCAGAGATGAGTACCTGGGAGGAGAGCAGGGGAGAGTGAGGCAGATGCCACCTGTGGCCGATGTAAACTGACTGCAAACATCTCTCTGGTCCTTATTTCTGTAAATAAGAGTCGGCTTGGTGTAAGTGAACTACCTAGGCTGAATCCATAGTAATGAAAAAGAGGCTGTTGACGAGGAGACTGGGGGACGGGAGAGTAAGACTCAGACAGTTTAGCATCTTCGGCTCCTTGGATGGAGATGAGCAGGTGCAGTGCAAAGGAAATTTCGAGATTTGCCAAAATCACCTTCCACCTTATTCTCTAAGCTGAACAGCTGCTCCTCGACTTCATCCTCCAGCCAGGCATGGACACCATATAGTTTCTTAAAGTTTCCCAACTCAGGTGGAAATCTACATCTATTCTCCAGAGAATCTTACCTCTCCCACCTTTCCCCATTCTACTCAAACTGCTTTCTAATATAGGGTAATATAATTAAGTCTCTCATTAGGATCGACTAGAAACCTCCAGGAATTCAGCACCAGATAACGTTCAGGAACAATGTTTTTTTGTTTACTTAAAAAAATTTTTTTATTGATGTTTTAATAGTGTATAACATTGTGAAATTTTTGGTTGTAACAATAATTTTTAAAAATAATTTGTTTCTCAAATGGTTGTCTTTTCATCATTTGAAAATCAGGGAGATTTATATTTCATTTCATAAAATATTATGTCATATATTTATGGGGCAATCATTCTCATCCATTTTGCTCATTTCCTCTGCTTTTATGACACATTTCTATTCAGTCATGGGCTACACACTGAGTTACAGGGTTGCTTTGAAGTTTATACTCCACTGTAGAAATATATTTCCCACCTTATCATTATGACTTATTTCTCTTTACTATCTGTTTCTCCTCTGACTCATAAATCATCTGTCTTCTGCAGTAAATTCTAGGTATTAAAATGACCCTAAAGTGAATCTTTGATATTTACTGTGTTACTTTCATGAGAACTCTACTATTACCAGACTCTATGTAAAATTGGAAATATTAATAGATTCGAAGTAAAATAATAATATTTACAGCCTAGTTCTGCCACATGTTAGCTCCATCATGTGATCTAATCTATCAATTTCCTATTCTTTTTTTTTTTTACTTTTTATTTTTCCCCCAAAGCCCCAGTAGATAGTTGTATGTCATAGTTGCACATCCTTCTAGCTGCTGTATGTGGGACACGGCCTCAGCATGGCCTGAGAAGCGGTGCATCAGTACACACCAGGGATCCGAACCCGGGATCCGAACGCCGGCCGCCAGCATCGGAGTGCACACACTTAACCACTAAGCCACGGGGCCGGCCCTATCAATTTCCTATTCTTAAAGATAAAAATCAATTATTTTAGGACCTCATTTATTAAGGTCCTCGTAAAAGCCAGACTCTCAAATGCTTTTCAGAAATCACCTCATTTTCCTGGAATAACAGCATCTATTTTGGAAGATCTTTGTGAGGATAAAATAGGGTAACACAAGACCAGGACAGTACCTGGCACACAGTAGGACCACAACACGTGCTACATCAGCTTTTACATCAGCTCTCTCCTCTCTAGTTTACTTCCCGCAGTATCCAATAGTCATTTCTTTCTTTTAGGTTTCCTTTTGTGCTACATGCAGACTCAAATGACTACAAATCAATGAAACCGACAGGGAAAAGCCGACATGTGTTATCAGATCAAAACCAGCAACCCTCTTTACCCTTCCTGCTGAGCAGCCTGGGGGAAAAGCTGTAGAATTTCTCTATGGAGGGTCTCCCCTTGTTCCAGGGTCTTCACCTTCATCTCCAGCAGGTAATCCTTCCCAAATTTGCTTTTCAATTGTTGGATGGAACCGATACATCTGGAGGTAGGAGGCGGATGAGGTCATAACACAAGAGAGGAAAAGACGTAGAATGCAGTTTGAGACTGGATTTGCAACTGGCCTCGTCTCAAGCGTCTCACTGTGAGACCCAGCGGCAGTGGTTCCAACTGGTCACAGTAATCTCTCCGTCCACAGACCAACTCTTCCAGCCGTGCCCCTGGGGGTCAAGTGTGAGCTTGGACAGGCACCCACCTCAGCCTTCTGGACACCGTGATGGCCACCCGGTCACACACGGCCTCAGCCTCTGCCATGTAATGAGTGGTCAGGAGGGCGCCCCTCTCCGTGTTTCTAAAGGTGGCCAGGATTGCCTGCCTAAATTGTCAAGAGAATATTTTCAATTTAGGAAGTCTTCTAATTCATCAGAAATGGATAGAGAAAAGAATTTTTAACTAGCATAAATGTGAATATTAGCCAAAAGAGATTAAGCAAGGGAAGACTCAAGAGGGCAGATGGATAAGGAAGGGCAAGCCAGGTGAGAGCTGTTAAACAGAAGTCAGGCATTGGAAGAGGGGAGTTTACAGAGTACAATACAGTCATGCATCACTTAATGCTGGGGATATGTTCTGAGAAGCAATTTCATTGTTGTGCAAACATCATAGAGTGTACTTACACAAACCTAGGTGGTATAGCCTACTACACACCTAGGCTATATGGTACTAATCTTATTGGATCACCATTGTATACGTGGTCCATAACTGACCAAAACGTCATTGTGTGGTGCGTGACTGTGTTTATTACAAGGATGTATTGAAAGAGAAATGCTGAGCAAGAGACTGCTTATAAAAGACTGTGCAAAGGGGAAAAGAATGACACAGAATTCAACAACAGAGTTGTCATAACCTAGTAGGAAGAAAATAAACAATAAACATACATGACAACATCCGGAACCCTCCCTCTTCCCCCACTTTTACAACCAGATGAGAATTACCATTCTCGCCCGAAGTATTGGACGCTAGGTAATTGTGGTCCAGAGATGCACCCTAGCTACCTAAAGGATCAGTCAAGCAATTACAATACTCAGAGTGAGTACATTTTGGGCCTTGACAATGATTATTTTTCCTTTAATGAGAAATGGTTAGGAAGTATTACCAGGGAAATACTTTTTCTTTTTTTCCAAAGTATTCGTTTTACTAATGATACTGAGATTTTTTTTCCCCACATGAAGAAACAGTGTATGGGACAATTTTTACAAGAGTAAAACAATTCACAGATTTCTCTCAAGGTGTCCATGCTGGCCCTGACCGGGTAGCGCCCCTCACCACACTTGCTTCTGCCCCTCAAGGGCCATCCCCGTGGACGGCTCGTCCAGAAGGACCACCGACGGGTTTCCCAGGATGCTCAGCGCGAAGCACAGCTGGAAGGAGAGGAACAGCGCGTCTGGCTGGGATCTGCGGGGTGCGCAGAGTGACACTGAGCCCCGCGCCTGCCTTCCTCTTCATTCCCTCTGATGAGGCCTTCACCCGGAGCGTCAGCTGGTCCTGCAGCGCGAGCGCATCCACCAACCTGACAAACCCACGCTGCGTTACAGGCTTCTTGACGACGAGGAAAGTTGACGGGAGCAGAGTCCCCGCAGGACAAGCGTGGGGATTAGAGCTCAGAAGTGCAGTTCAGAACACAGACGCCGGGCCGCCTAAAAACTAGCTGCTCTGACCATCCCCCGCCCCCCAAGATATCCAAATAGCTGTCTCATGATACTTCGTACTGAAATTTCTGTATTTTTGATAAATTTTACCAATGAATATTTTTTCTTTCCATATTTAATATGAGGAAAAAACCCCAACACTTTGAAACCGGGGAAATCGGTTTCTAGTTGCAAATCTACCCAGCGTGATTGGGGTCAGCGCTCAGAGCCTCCCGTCCTGAGTTTCCCGTGAAGTCGTCACCCCATTGGTCCCCCGGCCCCTCAGGTAGAGAACAGGGTGGCTCCCCGCGCACCTGTGATCCGCGGCGTCCCCCTTGCTCAGCCCTTTCACGGCGGCGAACACCTCCAGGTGCTCCTTCACCGTCAGGTTGGGCCACAGCGCGTTCTCCTGAGGACAGTACCCCAGGAACCCCAGGGCGTCCCCTCCGCTGCTCCCTTTGAGTGGCACCTGCAGGGAAAGGTCACTCTCAGGGCCTATGCTCTCCCTGCCCTCCTGCATATTTTGATGACATCTTTCTCTTTATAAACCTAGAAAAACTAGAGAATCTCTAGGCCCTAATTGAGTTTAATAATCTGTAATCATTTTGCAGAAATGTTGTCAGAGAGGAAATACCTGAAAACAAGTGTGTGCACAACCTAATCTAACCTGAAAAATCAACTCTCTCACAAATGCAGCGTCTTGCCGTCATGGCCAACAGTTTATACCCAATTTTGTCGTCACTGTCAGAAAGAAGTATATCAATTTAATTACTCACTATTTAACTTCACTCACTGATCAAACGTTTTTTGAGAACCGCCTATGTGACAAATGCTGTGCTGCCTGCTGAGGATACAACGAAGAACCGGAGAGCCAGCGCCCCTATTACTTCGAGTTTTCATTCCACTAAGAGAATCAGGCAATAAACACAGAGAGAAATGAGTAAATAGAACGCAGACCGATCATAAATTGTGCTGTAATGGAAGTATTCAGGAGGCTGGGGTGCAGAGTAACAGAGGAAGTGACTTTAGGTGGGGTGAAAGCCTGTCTGGGAGGGGCGACTTCCGCAGGAGAGCCAGTGAGAAGGCGCCTGCCATGGAAAAGCCCGGAGGAAAGGAATTTGGGGCAGACTAAACAACAAAGAGCCAGAGCAAAGCCCTGCGGAGGGGTGAAGCGTGATGTATTCTTAGACCTGAGGCCAAGGTAGGGGGCCTGGAGGAGAGCAAGGGAGAAGGACAGACATGCGACAGAAGGGACGTGGAAATCAGTCAGGTTTCCTTCCAGCCATAGTGCAGTGAGAGGTTGTTGAAGATGTTTAAGCCAGATGATGACATTGTTTATAAAGATCACACTGGCTCATCTGAGTAAAGCTGATTTCATGACACCCAACTAGTTGGCTTTATAATTCAGATCTTACTTACCTTTTGAAATATTTCACTCTAATATCTCAATAAACAGTTACTTCCTTTTTGCCCAGGCTCAATGAGAAATAAAATATTGATTAAGGGTTCAGATGGTGACTGAGTTGGAGAGTGGTCTCAGCTGAACCGAGGGGTCCAGTTAGGGTCAGCTGAGCCACCAACGTCACCTGAGAGGCCCCCTTTAGGACCACCTGCTCTCACTGTGAATACCTGTTTTCTCCTCTCTCGTTGAGTCTTTTCCCTTCTAGGCTTGACCACCAACCCCTTTCCCATGGTGTAGTTCCACAGACCTCTGCCTTGTATTCTGTTCTCCGCTTCCCCTGGACATACTTTCCAAAGGAATTCTTAAGGTTTTCTATTTTCTGCCATAGAATTTGGAAAAATAATGTTTCCTCTCTACCTCATGTGGTCTCTCTCTTTGATAAATCTGAGCTCTTTTACTCTTTGCGTGACTTCCTTATATAGTTGAATTGCATGGACAATTCAAATTGATTTCATATCCCTGTTGCTCGATTTCGAGCGATCCCTTGAAAATATTCCCAAGAAATAGTGTATTTGTACAAAAATATATGTTCCAGTAACTAAGCACTTTGTAAAGGACAATGAATATAATTGCTTAATAAAGTTTTTCTTCAACATTTTTATTCAAGATTAAAGCATTACATACTGGGAAGACAATGCTCATTGAAAGTGCAAATCCATGTGTTTTATGGTACTATAAACAGGATTTGTATGATTGAGTTCTGATCTGATATCGGACATTTCCTCTAAATGCCTTTGAAGGCATGAATAATTATCCCTTTCAGTGATTAATTTTTGTGTGTATTAATGTGATAATTTGTGAATGGATTATTCTATTGTATTAATCACTTCAATCATCTAATGATTAAATGGCATTTTGCTGTTCACAAAGTTTTACCGTCTTATAAATTTATTTTGAGTGCTACTAGACAACATATTTTCCTCATAATTTACCTACCTGTCCAGCAGTTGGTTTTGTGTCTCCAGTTATCACTTTAATGGATGTACTTTTACCAGCTCCATTGTGTCCTAATAATCCTAAAACCTCACCTGAAAAAGAAATGGTTACACTTAATATTAATTGATTTTAATAGTAAAATTAAGAATAAAATGTAGTCTGAAGTGTCCCTATGTGACAAGTGTTATGCTATGTGCTATATATATAATATCTCATTTAATTGTCACTGCCCCCATGAGAGGTTGTTATCATAAGCCCTTCCTGCATATCTGGGGACAGAAGCTCTCAGGGATGAGGTTAGTCACCAAAGGTCACACATGGGAAGTGGCAAATCCACTCTTGGAAGCCAAGTGTGTCAGACTCTGTCTCCTGTGATCCTAAGCACTATGCGATAATGACACAAAGTGAGGTCATCTAACATCTACCGGTCAAGCCTCAAGAATGTGCTGGCACGTCCCCAGTTCATTCTTTTGTGAAAAATAATGCACATTAGGAAATCAATCGTGTTCATTAAGTAGAAATGTCATGGTTTCAATGGTTCATTTAATAGAGCGCTTATGATTTCCATGTAGATGTGACTATGCTGCTAATCATGGGGTGATTTAATTAATTTCATTTAGAAATGAGACATGTAAAAGGAGCTGTCAAGGTCACCCTGCTGATGGGTCTGTGTGTGAACCAAGAGGTGAGGTACAGAACCATATGGTTCTCGTCAAGACCCATAAAGCTGTAAGGAGGCCCTGCGCCAACAGTGGAAAAGCCACGGTGTCCAACCTTTTCTAACACAGAAAGAGACATTTCTTGTGGCTATTTTCCTCTTCCTCTTGGAAAAGCAGCGTTTCCTTTTCCGGGCGTACTCCTTACGTAGACAGCTGGCAATAATGACTGGTTTCAGTAAATGACAAGTCAATCACGTCGGACCTTAATTCTCTCCCTTAATTTTGAAAAAACTGTATCCTCCCAATGGGTTGGCCCCTCACTCCAGAAGTCATGCATCAAAGAAGACCTTCTACCAGGTAACATACTCATTGGCCATTTTCCCATCCTAGCACTTATTTTGGGACAGAAGAGACTGTCATTTTCCTCCCCTACAAAGGCAGTGACTCAGAAGCACATTATTTTATGCAGCTGCCTGTCTCTCAGAACAGGAGCAAAAAGACTCAGAGAAGCACTGAATCATCCTCAAAGGACACACACACAAAAAAACCGTGGCCTGGATTTTGCCCTGAATTTTATACAGTGCACTTTCTCCAAGAAGCAGTGATATGCATCGCTTTGCTCAGTTTCTAAAACTCACAAATTCTTTCCTGGATTTCAACTGCACTTTTTTTTTTTGCTAAGAAAGACAAAGTGAGTTAACATGACTTTTCATCTGCTCATTTAGATGTAAAACATGATGGCTACCTACTGAAATAAAGTAGTAATCCTCATTTGTAGGGATTAGAGAAGCTCAAAATCATTTGAGAATTAGACTTGTAGACTGGCCACTTTAACTGACAAACATTTGTGTTATTTGATGAAATAACTGCTTTGTGTTTTACCTGGTCCAAGTTTGTGGAATTCAAGGCATTTGCTGTTCTCACTCTTTCCATCTGAACATCTTCATTCTCCCCGTCTGGCTCTTCTGGATTTTGACACACATCGCTACTTCTTGGAGAAATTCTAGAGTCAATACCATCCATTAGTAATTAGTTTTGTGTTTTCGTCCTTGTATCAAGAATTTTGCATTCTTTAAATTTTATACTTGAGTAGATTGGGTAATTAATGAACTATCGTCATTTCCCTTCAGTGCAGTGAACTCTCCTCCCTTCCCGACCTTCTTGCTCCTGTCAAGGCTACTACTATATTTAATGATCATTGCTTCTTAGATATCTTTCATTCTACTTATCTATAGAAACATTATTTTTGTCAATATCAAAGGGTAACTTAGTACCTATTATCTGACAAAGAATTTTTATATTATAGCTTAGCAAAGTAATTTTCTGGGAAACCTAGCTTTGACACCAACAAGTTGGCATTATTATATTTTCATGGAGAGAATAGGCCAGAATATTTGAAATCAGGATGGTTTCAGAAAATACAAGTTAGAAGCTTGATCTATTATTAAGCCTGGTCATTTCTTTGGAGTATGTGTCAGATTCACTCTTTCTTCTCCATTCTAAGCCTGGTCCCTCATACCCAGAATATATCTCATTCTATTCTCTCTTCTCTCAACCTAATCCCCAATACTGACCTTAAAAGATTTTTTAAAGGTCTGCTTTCATCTTGGAAGTCTCCCATCCAGCTATTTGTAATAGGGAAAGATGAAACTGATGTAGCGTGAGAGACGCAGAGGGAATAAGATGCTTATGGCTGTGTCCTTGCATGGTGCAAAACAAGTCTCAGCTTTTAAGTCCCATTAATAACTGAACAGTCTATGATCCATCAGTTGGGCTTCTCACTACCACAGGGAAGGAGCACAGTTACTGCTGTCTTTGGCCCATTGATCATTCTATTCTCCTGTCCTGGGTCAGCAGCATTCTTTCAACTGCCAATCTATTCAAATTGCTATTTAAACTGAACCAGCCATTTCTCCACTGCAGGGTGTCAGATAGAGCTCTTAATATTCAATATTTCATATCTGTTTCCTCCACTAGAATACAATCTTCTTTGATTTAGGTATCTAGATCTCTATTTATTGGCACATTGTTCCTACCCCTAGCATGTGGCACCTCTTCATCAATGGATTAGTTTATGCATGAAAAAATATTTTAAAATATTGTTCACTGAAATAAAAGAATCCAATTTGACTTCTCCTAACCTAAAGAAGGGATCCTTTCTCATTGATTTCTTTCCAAACTTCCATTCCAGGCCTCGAAGAATAAAAAGAAAGATGATAAAATGAAGGAAAGGCTAGGAATAAAGAAAGAGATGCACAATTAGAAACAGTAAAAGAAAACTGTTTTAACATCAGAAGTAAATTAGGAATAATTGGACTTCTACAAAAGATACGTTTGGCAAAATCATTACAAATTTCTAATAATCTATTTGTGAAATTATGAAACTATCAAATTCATTTTAAATCTTATTTACAGCAACATTGGAAACAAATATGATTATGTGATACCATTACTTTTTGGCATTTCCTCTAATATTTGACAATGTTCTTAAAGTTTAGGAAGTATGGTTAGTAGATGGTCAGTAGATCTTTATATAAAGATTTGTTCCATATTTTACAAATATTTTATCTCCATGGGCTACAGGTATCTCTATATCCACCTTAATAAAAAGTTTCACCATGTGTAGGAATTAAAATGGTTTAGTATAGTAAAAGACATAATTTTTAAAGAGGATATTCTTACAATTAGGAATACCAGAAAGAGCTCTACGCCTCTTGGTTCTTCATTAAAGAAATAAAGCATAAAATACTGCAAAAGGAAAGACAATGGTTAAATAGGAAGTTATTTTGTTTTGTGAATTTCATCCATATAAATGCGAATTGGGCCATCCAACAGCCCTACTAACATGTCCCCGATTTCACCGGTTTCATGAGTATCAGTTAAGTAGCCAGCCCTGGTGGTCCAGTGGTTAAGATTCGGTGCTCTCCTCGCTGTGGCCTGGGTTTGATTCCCGGGAGGGGAACCACACCACCTGTTTCTCTCTTGGCAGCTGCGTGTTGCTGTGATGCTGAAAGCTATGCCACCAGTATTTCAAATGCCAGCAGGGTCACCCATGGTGGACAGGTTTCAGCAGAGCTTTCAGACTAAGATAGACTAGGAAGAAGGACCTGGCCACCCATTTCTGAAAAAAGTGGCCATGAAAACCCCATGAAGAGCAGTGGAGCATTGTCTGATATAGTGCCAGAAGGTGAGAGGATGGCACAAAAAGACCAAGCAGAGCTCAGCTCTGCTGTACACAGGGAACTCAAGGGCACTAACGAATCAGGTAAGTGTCTGTACCAAAATGTATAGTGAGGAGCTGCCTTCCTCCCAAAGTCTATGAATTACTGTGCTTTTATTTGAAGCAATAGAATTTAGCAATTATTCCTCACCTGGTGAGAGAATCTGGGGGATCTGTGCTAGTCTCCCCAAATAATGAAAGAGGGACAGGGTTTATCCTTATCACACAGAGCTTCACACACCTTCCTGTGCCCATTGGTCCTTTCATAAGGCCCCTTCCCATTTTTCCCTTCCCATGGATACCTCTTCACTCATGTTCTGTACCTTCCTTCCTTTTGTGGAAGTATAGGTATCAGTCAGCAAGAAAAAAAGGGATTTTATTCATATTGAGTACTTCTCTAGAATCTTGAAATCCCATAGATTAGGGACATTTCATTTGCCTCCTCCTAAAGTTGAGCATGCCCAGGACTGTCTAAGGCTTAGAATGAGTATAAAGGCTGCTCTATTTCCCACAACCCATGACCTTTCCTCCCCACACATTAACCAGGGCCAAGTTCTCTATTACAGTTCAGCCAGAACACACTGTCCTATCTGGGGGAAATTCAACTGGAATCCATGAAGTAGAAATCGTCAAATGTCATGCATATTCAACATGTCGTAGAGCCCCAAACCTAGGCAAAACTTTCACAATTGGTCATGAGGTCCAGGACACTGGGACGGATGGCGGCATCACTTACGTGAAAAGATAAGAACACACAGCCAATTAATGTGGCTTGTGATATTAAAAAGGTAATGCCATACAATGCCATGTCCATAGCTATCCAACAGAAATCCAACCACAGAGAAGATGGTGATCTGAAGAAAATACAAATATGTATGTTAGCCACTCTTCATTTCAATATATGCTCCAAATCGAGAAGCCTCATCTTGGAGATATTCCTAATTTCAATTCCAATCTCAAAACTAAGTTGAAATCAGCATATCTCCATTGACGTATTCTTTTAGTGACTTAGCCAAATTCCTTTGACCTGGAGTATCATGAATGAGACATCACTGGATAAATATAGGATCTGATATATAGAATATTTTAATTATAGGAAAGGAAAAAAGGTGGTGTGTATTGTTTTTGGAGGTAAAATTCAGAATAATAGATAAGCAATAATCATAGGGAAAAGTGGAAACTGATATCTAGTAGGAATAAAATAACAACAACAATGAAAGTATATTTTTGTTAACTGTATCAATGGAGAAATATAAGCATTTAACAATCTGGAGTGGCTTAAGGAGAAGGACTAAAACACAAAATTCCGGGATAAGAGAAAGCTATCAGTACACCTGAAACTCTCAGACTTTTCTTCTAAACCATTGCAATGACTTCCTAAAAGTTTTTGTACTTCTGGTTTCTCTGTATTACAAACCATCACTTTTATAGCTTTCAGAATATTTTTCCTAAAGGTATATCTCGGATCATGTCTCTTTTCTGACCTATGAGCGCCCATGGCTTCCCACAGCCTGGAGAATAAATTCTTGAGCACATCACTGAAGGCTAGCCATGATTCCAACCATTATTTTCACCATAACTAGGACCAAGTCCAGGCTGTACCTTGTTTTTGATCAATATCCACACCAGATTATTACCAGTTCCTAAGATAAGTCTGGACTTTCTTCCCTCTGGGTTTCTGTTTACTCATTATTTTCTGTTTGCATCATTATTCTTTAGCTGTTGAAATCTTACTCTTCTTCAGGTGTCAATTCCTAAAGAAAATCTCTGTTCTCATTTTCATGAACTAATCTCTCCCCTCTCTGGTTTTCATAGACCTCTTTATTACTCAGTTGTACAACAGACTTTTAAAGATGGATGATACGTCCATAATCTTTTCCTTATCACTCTGTTTTAATAAGCGTCTGCTTACTCATTCGTTTACCCTCTGAGAGCTCTTTCAAGGTTGGAACTGTCTATTTTTAATCCATTATCAGTCTTAGTTGGTGACACATTGTTGGAAGCCAACAAATGTTTGATGAATTAATTATTTTTTGGCATCCTGAAATGACAGGAAATTAGAATAGATACTCATAAATCATACGTATTTACCCTCCTAATTTAGATAAAATAAGTGTTGCTTTATGGAATTAATTCTCAGGAGAGAGTTTGAGGAAGTAGTTTCTAGTTTTAACTATGCTAGTGACAGTATTTATAACCTTGTATAACTTTGTGGAATTCTTTGGGCTTATTTCTTTTTCAGTAAAAAGAAGATACAGATGGTTTCCAGGTTTTCTTCTACTAAATATTTTATACTTTTAGAAACAATTTGGCTACATTTAAAGAAAGACAAGGGTAGAAATAGGAAGAGAAAAAGATGCAGATTTTGAAAAGGATCTGTACATAAGGAAAACTTAAAATATTTTAGACGGTAATATTAATTTATCAGTCTACCAAGGGCAAATTTTAAAGTATTAGGTCAGAATTGTATATCAAATATACAAAATAAATGGTCACAAGAAACACACTTACAATACAGAAGCAAAAAGACCAAATGCCACTATTTTTTCTCCCCTTGCGGAAAATGAACGAAATCATGTATGTCAAGAAGACAAGTGATGTGGCATAACCAACAGCACATGGGACCTGAAATCAACAGGAATGCTAAGTTTAATTAAAGACAGATGCAATCTAGGATAACATTTAGGATCCAAAACATAGTCATAGCACAGGGTTTTATAGTTATTTAATTTATGGCAGTGTGAATATCAATGAAAACAATTTGCATCTTCAAATTTTCTAATTAAATCATACAATGATGTTTGTTCTATGAATATTGTCACTTACTTGTATAATCTGATTTACAATTTTAAATACAGTGTCTTGGAGGTTTAAAGCGTAGTCCATTAGATACATAAAAAGGAAGATCAAGGAGTACATTGGAACATCCACCAGCGCCTGCCCAAACCAGTAAGCAGAAGAGAAGAGCCCCGAAATCCGTAGCTGGGACCAAGCTTTGCTCTGATTAGGAGACAGCAAAGATACAAAGTGGTATTTCAATTTGAGGTTTAAGAAAATGAGAATTATATAAGAAAATATTCAAACAATCTTCATTTCTGATAATTCTGCATCATGGCTACAAATGTTAATCTAGACCAAGGGATATGGATAGTTACAATTGTAAATGATCACTTTGCTGATTTAATTAATTACATTGCTGTTCATCACACACCTGGTAGAAATATGTGAAAGAAGACTTCAGAATAATCAAGGTAACAATACTGCAGTGACAAAACAGTGATTAATGAGTTATGGGGCGTGTGGTGGGAGAAGTTATCTATTGTGGAAATTAATAAACAGAAACCTTATTAAAATGGAGTTGGGAGGCCAGAAAGGGGCTCTTTCATCCCTACCTTGCTGGCAGAGCCCAACAGGAAGGAAAAAGACTTCCTCTTCTTGACCAGCTAGAAGCTCAGCCAATGAGAGGCTGTCACAACGCAACCAATGAGAAGCCACTACACATTGAACTTCCAGTCTCCTCCAATGGACTCTTTGTTTGCAATAACCCTCCCAACTTCCTCTTCCCCTCTATAAAAGAGTGTGTCCTCCCCCTGCTGCTAGAGACTTGCCATGGTTGCAGAGCCTGAATTGCAATTCTTTGCTGATCCCAAATAAACCCATTTTTGCTGGAGAAATAACTGGCCGTCTATTTGTTAATGGTCAACACTTATCTAAGCAGCTAACTTCCCATCAGAGTGATTGTACTTCGACTCAACATGAAGGTCTCTCTCTCCCTCTCTCTTTCTCTCTCTCTGTATATGTATCAAATAGCTTTATCCTTTTAATCTAAACAAATGATGTGTTAGGGTAGTTTTGCCATAGTATGTATTCAAATATTTATTACCCATCCAAATATTTATGTATATGTACATATAGATAAATACATCCATAAATATAAATATATTTTGTATTGCTTGCCATTCTCTGTATAAACATACTAAATTATATATTTTAAAACGACTTATCAAATGATGCAATTTTTGGCACAAATTACACATTAAACCATCCTAATAATTCTGAATGTATTTTTTCTTTTAAAACAGACTTAAATTCATTTGTTGATGGTCTCTGATTAGCTAAATGATGCTCATGTCTGAGACATAATTTGACCTAGGGATTCATATCAAAATATTCGAACACAGGTCCATTCAGATCAACTGACAAGGATTTGGTAATTGACTCGATATGTGAGTGAAGCTATGAGAGGATTACAGGATGGTTTTAGGTGACTGACGGGATAATTGAGTACACAGTACTGCCACTTATGGAGACAAAAAATATGAAAGGGGGAACACATTTAAGAATATTATACACACTTCAGTTTTGGAAACATGCACTTTGAGAATCTGTGATGCCACCAGTAGAAATACTGAGAAGGGAGTTTGGATCAGCATGGGAGGTGAAACTAGAAATTAGAGACCTGGGGTACAGTCAAATCCATGAGTGACCAGTAGGTAGAGGGGATTATGAAGTCCTAGTGTTAGATGAGCTTGCCTAGGAGAGAATGACATCTCACATGAAAAGATAGCCAAGGGTTGAGACCTGAGAATTTCTCAAAATTTAGAGATGATATCGAGGAGTAAGAAACTCCAAAGGAGATAGACAGAGAGACAGTGTTAGGCCAAAGTGTTAGGAGAGATGTGGTGAAATTGTGGCATCCCACAGGCCAAAGAAAGGACGTGTTCATGTCTCCTAGGGGAGAAGTTTTCAAGTTTGGACTATGCTACTGCCAGAGTGACTGACAGTTACATCAGGCCAGTAAACAGCATTTCCCAAGATTCCTGGAGGTTCTACACTAGAAAGGGAAGGTTACATGGATGGGACTCTCTTCCCTTGGGCAACAGAATTACTTTGGAAAGGAAAGAAGTGACACAGATGAAGATGGTACTGAGTAAACAGAAATGCCTAAGCAAGGTTTCATGGATTTTGTGTAATAAAGTTACAAAAATGGAGCCGTTGACAGATATTCTATTGAAATTTGTAAGTAAAGCTAATGCAAGTTGGCCTGCATTGATTAGTCATATAAATTCAGCACCCTATGATTACCACTCAAAATTTCTCTACTCCAGAACTACTGAATCAGAATCTTCATTTTAACAAGATGCTCCAATAATTTGTAGACACATTAAAGATTCATTTAGATTAATGAAAGAGTGTCTGTGAATGAAAATTTATAAACAGATTGTCAGTTAAACACTGAAATTTTCTTTTTATCTCTCCAAGTTTTCACATTTTCAAAATTTCCTTTTATTTCAACAACCTTTTTTTAAGTAACTTTTTTGAAATATAATTTTCAAACAATAAGAAGTGACCATATTAAGTATACAGTTGCATGAAGTTCAACGAATGTGTATATTCCTGTATCACAATCATAATCAAGGTATAGAACATTTCCATCACCCCCCAAAATTTCCCATGCTTCTTTGCAGTCAACAGCCTTTATTGCTGGTTACAAGAAACTACAGGTCTGTTTTCTGTCACTATGGATTAGTTTTACCTTTCTGAGAATTTCACATAAATGAAATCATTCAGTATTTACTCTTTTGTGTCTGTCTTCATTCTCACAGTGTAACGGTTGTGAGTCTCATCCATGTGGATGCATTTATTAGTTGTTCCTTCTTTTGTATTGCTGAGTAGTATTCTACTGTATGGCTATAGTAGAATTTGTTTATCAATTCACAGCTTGTTGGACATTTGACTTGTTTCAGGTTTGGCTATTATGAATAGAGCTGCTAAGAACATTAATGTACAAGTCGGTATGTGAAAAGATGTTTTCTCTTGGATAAATACTTAGGAGTATCTATTGCTGAGGAATTGCTGAGTTATACAATAAATGTAATTTTAACTTGATAAGAAAGAGCCAAATTGTTTCGCAAAGTGATTGTACAATTTACATTCCCACCAGCAATGCATGACAATTCCAGTTTTTCCACATCCTCACAAACTCTTGATATTGTCAGTCATTTTAACATTATTCATTTTATTTGGTGGTATCTCATTGGGGTTGTTTTCTGGATTACTCATGATATTAGCCATCTTTCCATTCTGTATAATTTCTTTGGCGAAGTATCTGTTCAAATATTTTGCCCATCTTTAAAATTAGACTATCTTATATTACTGAGGTGTAGGAATTATTTATACTCTTGATACAAATCTTTTGTTAAATATATATGTATTGTGAATGTTTTTCTCCCAGCTTGTATCTCTTTATTTTCTTATTGGTGTGTTTTCTTATTGGTGTTTTACAAAGAGCAAAAGGTTTTAACTTCGATGAACTTTGTTATCATTTTCTTTTATAATATATGCTTCTTCTGTCCCATCTAAGAAATATTTGCCTACCACAAGATCTATGATTCATTTCAAAGTAATTTTGTGTATGGTGTGAAGTGAGTGTTGAGAACATTTTTTTTCATAGCAATATCAAGTTGTTTTAGTACAATTTGCTGAAAAGATTAACCTTACCCCTTGAATTCCCTGGTAGTTTACTTGAAAATCAATTGATGATGTATGTGTGGATTTATATCTGAAATGTCTATTCCATTTCATATATCTGTATATGAATATTTATATATTTCATACATCTATATGATTATCATTAATTAATATAACACATTCTTAGTTACTATAACTTTGTAGTAAGCTTTGAAGTCAGAAGCATGTCTTCTAATTTTGTTTTTCTTTTTCAAAGTTATTTTGTTTATTCTAGGTTCTTTACATATCCATATAAATTTTGGAATCATTCTCTATCAGTAATCTATTTATTTACCTATACATTTAGATCTCCACTTATAAAACTTCCTTTTATTCTTATAACTTAGGATGTATGTCTGAATTGGCTGCTCGATTAAACATGTATAAATAGCCTCATGAAAAATCCTGTAACTATATTATCTTCAGCTTCTAATTATCCAAGGTAACAAAAGTTTCAGCTGCTCATTATTACCTTATAATCGTCAATGCTGCTCATGGCAATACAAGGAGCACAACAGGATGACAAAACCAACCGGAACATAGAATGTCATAGGAATTCAAATGGGTTGCCCTGGTCCTCCTGAAAATGCAAAGAGCAGAATGAGCTGAATGAACAAATTCAAAATTCATTTTCTGGAACACATTTTTTAAAATATATGAGCGATTATTTATAATCCTGCCTTTGGTCCCTTTTGAGGTTCCCAAACTCTTTCATTATCCAACCAGTTTTGAAGCTTGGCTCTTGGGTTTATATTCAAATTTATGGATAAGAAAAATGATTCAAGAAGGTGAATGAATTGCTAATATTACACAGTTGGAAAGTAATAAAAATAAGATTTTCCATTTTCTGACCTTATGATTCCAAAATTTATTCTGATGCTAAATAATAAATAATGACAATTCACAGTTGAAACATTCAATTTCCTAACTGATCTTTAATTATTTCATATGTGATATCTTGACTCAAAAATCATATAAGATGTTTTTTTGGGCACAGTGATAATAAATTTTTTCTTAGGTACACCATGAAACCAGATAAATATTAGATGAGGAGTCAAAAGTGAAGATGAAGTGCTAGAAGGGGAAGTGAAATCTCCAAGGAAAACCTGTGCCCTTAGTTATACTTGTTGCTCCTGTTTGTAACAATCTTTAAGGATAGAAGATTTACAAACTGTCTTGAAAGCAGTCCCCATGTTGCTTTCATGATACACATAGTTGTTATTTCATCAAGCACATTACTGGAAAAAAGTCATAACCAGAGCCAGACTGGCCATCAGAGAGACACTTGCTAACCACAGAAAGGTGAGATTTAAGCTTATTATCAGAATCTTTCCAGAACATCCTGTGTGCTAGGTAGGTTCAGTACTCAGAGGCAAATTCATTGACTTGGGGCAGATCAGAAGCAAGGTCTGAAACTACAGAAATCTCTTACTTGAGCAATGAGTAGGTAAATTAGAATAGAATATAAAATGAGTTGCCGGTGATTAGTTAAAGTTGGATGCTGGGCACATAAATACCAGGTCAACTGAGCTGGTTGGTGTCAGACTCAGCCTAGCTGAAACAGGAAGTTTTCACAGATGGAAGCCCAAGGCAATTTGCTCAATGATTGTATCCTGCCCTCAGAAACCAGAAAATTGAAAAGACATTCACAGTTATACAGGAGGTTAATTAAATGAACCAGAGCACATATTCTGAAATTAATTAATACTTGATAGATGACTAAAACTTTTTGCTTTAATGATTCAGTTTCTTACACACCCTGACTGAAAGGAATTTTTATTTCCTGAGCACACAAAGATGTATGTAACAAGAAGGTAAGGCAAGCTCCTGCTGGAGCATATGAAAATAATAATGGGTACCTGGTCCATTTTATGTGCCCTGGGGTAAACAGTTATTAGCAATATATATTATCACAAAACCCTAGAGTTGAGTGGGATATAGATAATTTATTGACCTCTGACATTCATTTATGGATTTAACAAATAAGTCATTTAGTGCTTATTATGTGTCAGGCCCTATTCTAGGTACAGGGCACTATGTGGCATTAAAAATACATGGTCTCTGTGCTCAAAGAACTCTCTAAGATGGAGAAATATGCTTAGGAAATAATCAAAAAGGAATAATTACAAACTCTGATAGGTATCCTGGTTTCTAAACTTAAAGTGCTGTACACATTCCAATAACCTTGGCCATTTTTAAGAAATAAGATTTTTTTGCTCCATGTATGGAAAAGCCAGTTTGGTAGGCCTGGAGTAGGCCCAAGGAATTAATATTTTTGACAAGGAACTAGAGTAATTCTAATGTAACCAATCTGCAGTTCCAGCCTGAACTTTGTCCTAAATTTTTTTCTTTTGTAGCATTTCTAAAAGTAATAATAATATGGCTTCTATTTCTTTCTCTCTTTCTTTCTTTTTTTGGTTCTTCCCCTCTTTCTTTCATTATTTTGACACTAGTGATAGCACTGTAGGATTTCACTTTCACTACCTCACATTGTCTTTGAAAAATATTTTGTCAGTTTTATTTTACATTAAAGAAATTGAAACTCTGAAAAGTGGATTGATTTTACAAAACCACAGAGCTAGCATGAATCCAAATGCTAATTTATTACACAGTGGTTTACTAATTAGAATAAGATTTCAACACTTAAAAGATCGCCTGGGAGATTCCTGATGGAGGAGAGTCTACAAGATCCTATACTTAGCCCCAAAAATGTACTTCTGTCAGTTTGGATATGTGCTGATGCATTAACCATTCCAAGTAGCGCATTACTAACAATATCCATAAGAACTGGGAAGGAATTCAGTCTTTTGGTATTGCATGCTAATGAAAAGCTGTAATTCTAAAATACAAAAAGTAAGGTTATAAATTCTCAATGATCTTCAATTTTTTTCTATAGAGGTCAAAATTCGATATTTTAATTAAAAAATCATGTTTTTAAAATGGTGTCAAATAATCAAAACAAAAACCAAACACTGTGTAAGTAAAACAAAATATGTATATAGCTTGTATCTAATTTTCAGGATACCAGATGCCTGGCTTTAGGCTAGAATCAAGTATTATTATTGTTTAAGAATAAAATAGAAGTTTTAGAATATATGTATTATAAAATCCTTGAGAGGAAATATGAATTCTTTGGACTTAAATATGCACTTGACAGTGGGTATTGTATAGTACTTATTTTGCTAATACACAGCATTTGTTTTGGTAGACAATGGTTGATACATGAATTATTTATCGTAGTAATGTCTACAATTCACTAAGTAATAAATGAAAGCAGTATTTGTTTTTCATTTTGTTTCCTAAATTGGAGACCTGAATATATTGATATTATATTAGCTTTCCACACCTTTGGGAAAAATTATTAAATAGAGACCAGCATACCTTTCCATTACCAGACTCTGTGATAGCTCCATTGTAAGATGGGTCATCAGTGCCATTTCTAGTTCCAAATGCATCCACTTCCAAAGCTATGTTCTGATGCTCCACAGGATGTATAAAGTTATCAATGCCTGCTCCTAATTTGCAGTTAAATATATCAGGTATCACAAAACTAAGAAAATCAATGTCAAGTTGGGCAGTGAAATTATAATTATTGTCATTATGTGATACTGTAATATGGACTGTCAGGATATTTTTCCACCTGATAACCTGTTTGCCACTGTGAATTAAAAATCTCTTCACTTCTCATGGAGTTTACTTTGTAATATGTTTATTTGCTTATGATTACTGCTAATGTGAAAGTCGTTTTTAGCACCATATGGCATTTGGAATCGATTTTTTTCCCTTGGATCTTGCAATGAATGGCCATAACCAATAAGGTTTTAATGACACAGATAATTTCTACTAATTAACCATCAAATTTGCTAAATCTCATTTCACCACTGCTAGATTATTAATTGATTTTCAAAATGCTTCTTGATACAGAAAGACAACTTGTTGAACGGCTTTGTGAAGTGCTCTGTGGACCTTCTTCCCAGAAAAACAATCACAACTTGTGAAAATTACTAAAAAACCAACAAGTTAAAATCTCTTGATTTTCTTAAGGGCATAAAGAACATGAAAAAACCCCCCATTTATTTAAGAAAATCTATTAAATCTGGGTAAGAAGACTTAGAAACTGTGGCATTTGAGCCAAAAACCTATACTTTCACTCCCCCTCCTCAATTAGCATGACAGAAGCTCCACTCTGAATGGGTGTAGCCAGGAGCTCAGGCATCCTTCCCCCTCAAGCCCAGTCTAGGACTAGAATATCTTCTTGGGAGGAACTGGGGCAAGGATGATTGGCCCACACTATTTTTGGCCTCTTGTTCCTAGGATACAGCTTCCACCTTATGAGTAGGGGATAGATGGAAGAAGAGAATGCCAGACCTCTCAACCACTCTTGTCTGGTATTGAGTTTCTGCAACATGGAGCTGGGGATAATAAGAAAGGTTGGTGGCCTGCCCCTCCCAGGAAGATAACTGAATTTCCATTGAAGTTGGATCCCTTCCTCATACCATACACAAAAATTAACTCAAAATGGATCATAGACCTAAATGTGAGAACTAAAAGTATAAAAGCCTTAGAAGAAAATACAGGAGTAAATCTTTGTGATCTTGGGTTAGGCAAAGCCTAATCTAATTACGACACCAAAAGCACAAGCAAGGAAAAAAAATATGTCAGACTTCATAAAAATTAAAACATTATGTTTCAAAGGACGCCAATGAGAAAGTAAAAAGACAATCTACAGGATGAGATAAAATATGTGCAAAACATTTACAGTTGATTCTTATTATTCATGGTAGTGATGTTCTATAAAGTCACCACAAACACTGAATTACTGAATGTTGTGCCATTGCTCTTTGGGGAAACCGAGGGTTACGTTCCTCTGAGCCTCTGGTTACAACGGTTTCTTTGACCAATCAATACATTGCCTTATTTTACGTATGTTTATATACATATATAGTTGACTCATTAACATTGATCTCACAGCCAACAGCACTATAACTCATGCCTGAACGAAGCTTATCTAACACACATATTTTCTCTATAAGGTATGTCACAGCCTTCTTGACTCAGAAACACTGGATAGCACTTCAGAACTATAGTTGGGGGCCATTTTTTTTTTATTGATGCTTTAATAGTTTTTAACATTGTGAAATTTTGGGTTGTACATTTTTGTTTGTCCATCACCACATATATGTCTCCCTTCACCCCTTGTGCCCAACCCCCACCCCCAATGCCCCTGGTAACCACAATACAGTTTTCTCTGTCCATGTGTTGGTTCATATTCCACATATGAGTGAGATCATACAGT